AATAGGCAATATTGTGTAGCATGCACACTAATGCAACACAGATCTATGAGTCTTTCATCTTTGTACAGGCCTGAAATGGCCAAATAAGGCAATGCAGACAGAGGGAAGCCAACTGCTGATTATACGGAATTTAAAACCAAGCAGAGGATTTAAAATAAACTGATTTTAAAGCAGTCGGAAATAAAGTAACAAAGAATAAATCAAGCATTAAAAAAAGAAACAGCATAATCCTCTGATATGCAGAGAATTTGCGGCAGCAAAAACCGAGCCCTGCTCTTTCACCTATCCCATACAGCTTCCTTCTCTTCCTCAGGCCTTACACAGTTCCCTGTACCACCTCAGAGCTTCCAACACCTCACCAGGATCCCCAATAACTAGCGATAGGACAAGAGGAAACGGTCTCAAGTTGCGCCAGGGGAGGTTCAGGCTGGATATTAGGAAGAACTTCTTCACTGTAAGAGTCTTTAGGCATTTTAATGGGCTCCCCAGGGAGGCGGTGGACTCACCATCCCCGGAGGTGTTCAAAAACCGTTTAGATGTGGCGCTTCAAGACATGGTTTAGTGAGCATGGTGGCATTGGGTATACGGTTGGACTTGATGATCTTTGAGGTCTCTTCCAACCATAATGATTCTATGATTTTCCATATATCTTCCAGCTACCCAGCATTGATGTTGAGCAGAAAAAGTAAGCAAGCCAAGCAATCAGAAATATCCAAGATAAGAAACACATGGTTGCAAAACCCAAAAGTGCCATATCAGAAGCAAATAAGAATGTGTACCTGGCTGTCCCTGGCTCTACACTCATTTTCTCCAGGTACTGAGTTAATTTGGTATAAATCAGACCCACCTGAGCAGCTGGATGTCCACAAGCAATGCTCATCTGTACTCAAGAGCTGACATTAGGTGTGAGTAGCTGAGGCATAGCTCTGAGACACAACGTTCCCAAAGCTGGCTTGCCTCCTGACAGCTCTGGTAACAGGCAGAACAAGGCTGCATCTGTCTCATCCATCTACAGCCCACGTCACAAGTCCTGAATCTTCAGTTTTGGGGGTTACCTATATATCCCCTCCACCCAGCTTGCTTTTGAGAAGAATTTGCTTGGCCTGTGACTTACTCTCAGCTATAGTTAGGGAAAAACCTAGCAGAAAAGGACTTTGTTATGTATGCATATGCACATTAACATCTCTGTAGTGTGCTGGAGAACAGTTTGTCCTGCTGTGTGACACATGCAGGACTGGCCTGTCATTGAGTGGCTACTCAAGACTGAGAGAAGCCAACTGAAAAATGGGCAAAAACTGGGCACCGTTTCCCAACTTCTCGGAACTAAAGATGGGATTTTTCAGTCCAAAAAGTGCCCTACTTCTCCCAAAAAGTCCAAGAAAAATGCAGAATTGTTTCACTAGTGAAACATTTTTGAGAATTGAAGTTATATTCCCCCAGTACTTAAAAATTTCAAAACATCTACTTTAGCTAATTACAGAAGGGAAATACTTACCTGAAATACAATAGTTTGTTCACCTCTGAACATTATGAAAAACAATGCTTACTGCACAAAACTGAGATCCAGAATAAGCATTTTTGATTTTGATGGAGAATAATGCTCTATCTTCCTTGTATTTGTGAATTAAAATAGATACAAACTAAGATCCTTTTTACAACTGTCTATCATCTCTCCCTTCAAAATGTCTACACTTTTTCCCTTACCTCCTATGTTATAAAATGACATCTTCTGCATTTTTTTAATCTCAAATTTGAACCCAAATTGTAGAAATCCACAAAAATCCGAGAAGCCTGTGTAGAGATGATGGCTATCCGTCTGCTTTCACTACTTATCACAATCCGTACTTGTCCAGAATTCTATTAAATTTCTTGTCCAACATAAACAGCACATGTCACAGACCATTATTAGAACTCATTTCACCCACTGACCACAAAATAGGTTTATTTTAAAACAGTATCAAATATGAAAAATTAGGAGAAAAAGAAGTAAAACAGATGCCAGTAGAAGACAAAATGAAGCCTAAAAATCAAATACAATTATCCAGTTTCTTCACACCAAAAAAAACCACCCTACTTACATTCTTAAGAACAGAACACTAACCTCCTGGCGAAAATTATTTGCTGTCCTCTCTAGATGATCCATTTTCCTTTTTGATTTAATTGTGCTGCAACAAAAAGCAAAGACAATTGTCATTTTGACAGCTGTGCTACTGTCCCTTACTGACATGACTGTTTATTAACATAACAATTTACCAGTGTAATCCAGACTACAGATGACATAAGTCTAAATAAGAATTAAATATTTATATATATGTATAAAAAAAAATTGGGAGTTAAAGAAGTATTTGTAGGTCTGTAATAATTTGTCAGTTTCATTTTGACAGTGTTATCATGACATTCTCTTTAAAAAAAAAAACAACAAAACAAACATTTTTGTATGTGGATAACCTACCCGTTCACTGTGCAGTAACAAAAAGCAGAGTGCCTCAACACCACCAATGCAGAATGAGTGGGAAAAATTCTGGTAGCACTTTTCAGTAATTGAGGAACAGTAAAACCCACATAAACAGTAGCAGGAGCCATGATGACTGGGCTGTCTTTGGAATCACCAGCTCCTGAAAAATCCATATAAATATTTGTTAAATAAAATACTCACTGTTTGACACAGCTTGTTTTCCATTAAATCAGAAAGGCCAAAGCCTAGCTGGAGCTAAAACTAGCAACAGACATATAGGGGAACAAGAAGGAATTTTAAAAGTATGAAAATATCTCAAAGAAGTGAAAATGTGCACCCATTAATTGAAGGGGAAGACAACCCTGTCACAGACAACATGGAAAAAGCTGAAGTACTCAACAGCTTTTTTGTCTCAGTCTTCACAGGCAAAGCCTGCACCCAGACCTCTGCTTGTACCAGTAGTGTTTGGGAAGGAGAGGGGTAAGTAGGAGTGGGGCCAGCAACTGCTTAGAGAAGCTGGATGTATTCAAATGCACAGAGCCAGATGGGTTACGCTCAAGGTTGCTAAGAGACACAGCTGATGTGAGGCAACTGTCTATTACCCATGAAAAACAGTTATCAGAGAAAGTCTCCAATTGACTGGAAAAAGACTAATGCATGCCCATCTTTAAGAGGTAGGCAGCAGTGCCTACGTCCAGTCAGCACCACCTCAGCCTCAGAAAAAAATGCTCAGAGCTTGTCCCCTCAGCTGTGTGAAAACTAAAAAAGTAATCGGGGAGATTCAACACAGATTTACCAAGGGCAAATTATCTTTGATACAACTGAATACCTACTGTGATGAAATGTCTGGTCACGCAGCTATGGGGACAGCAGTGGATACAATACACCTGATTGTCCTGTGCCTTTTGACACCATCTCCCACGGCACACGTATCAGGAACCTGAGGCCAGATGGGCTGCTGGAGAGGTTCAAAACTGGCTGGGCAGACAGAATTGAAGACTTGATGGCTTCAAGTTGCTTCAGTTGCCAGCTAGTAACAGTTAGAGTACCCTGGGGTTGATATTGGGGCTGATATAGTTCAATAAATTCATCAGTAACTTGGATGACGAGACAGAATGTACCATCAGCAAACTTGTGGATGATACTAAATTAGAGGGATGGTTGACACGCTGAATGGTAAAAGCTTCACTTCAAAGGGGCACGGAGAAACTGCAGGACTGGAAAACAGAAACCTCACGAACTTAAAGAAGTACAAAGGTCTACACCTGGGCCTGGCTTAATCCAGTGCTAGCAACTGTTCTGCTCCAAGCAGGAGCTTTGACTAGATGACCCTCAGCGAAGTTCCTTCCAGCCAACGTATCTGTGATTCTAGATGCTCAAACAATATTTATCTTTGAAAGAAGATCAAACACCGAATACACATTCCCTTTCTATTAGTAAAGAAAGAGTTCTGGTTGGAAAATTTTATAAACATTAAATAAAAATGGTTTTTACAGGTTTATTTAAAAACACGCAAATCCCTCATACTTCCATATATCCTACATAATACTTACATCTCTAAACAGTTAAGCAAGTAGCAGACACTTACATGCATTACAGTGGAAACATGGTGTGAAGCTTCAAAACTGCATGCTCAAACAGAGCTACGACAGACAAAGATAAACTGACATGTACAATATTCAAAATAAGTCAGAAATACCCTTCATTTACAAAGGGTACGAACAGGTTCATAGTGAGCCAAGAGATATTTCTCATTGCTTGTAAATCTGCCCTTGTTGTTCCTAAAATGGATCAGCATAATTCTCTATCATGCTATCATCACCTATCAAATTATATTATTTCTATGATGCAGTCCATTGCTTCTTTAAAGCATTCTTAATCTTTTACTTCCATTTAAATCTCTTTTCCTGCATTCCTTTAAAGCATGCCATTTATTTTCATAGTGGTTTTGTTTTTCATTTTGCATCCTTTGAAATGGCAATGATCCAGCTTGTTTAACTAATCAGGCCTATACTCTCTAGGCTTTCACTAACAGCTGCATTGGCTGGTCACTTAGTAATTACAAGTGTTTGTAATCTTGTACGAGTGGGAGGCAGAGCTTTCGTAAATTAGGCTGCTCAGAAATGGAATACATTTACTGTAACTACTCAAAATGCCCACTTTCAAGCATAAGAAATACGTCCTACAGCTTTTAACTGTCCATAATTTTTAACAGCTTTTTAGCATTTAATTCCACAGCAGCTTGCAACTTTTCAAAGTGGAATTATTTAAAACTCTTCTAACGCCAGTGAGCAAAATTACTTTTAATTTTTTTTTTTGCCACAGCATATACCGAGTACTCTATTTAAATAAAATACTTCAGTACTTTCCACATGCAAATGTGTAGAAGCTATTGATAACAAAAGTATTAACAATCTTAAAATATTTCAGCAAGACAAAGTACCCATCTAATGAAGAAGTCACATTCCTCTACCTCAGCATGTTCAGTCTGCAAACCCAGAGTGCTCAAAAATCACTGAGTTACTCAAATTCATGAGATCATTTTATGATCTGGAGTCCTTTAGACAGCATATCTTGGTTATATCCATCTACATCTCCTTCTTTTAGGCTTCTTGCTTTTTGATTCATGTTTTCAAGCTTTTCACTCTATCATATTAACTAATTCAATGTAAAAATGAAGGATGTTTGAAAGTGGACATTCTAATTTATGTAAGCTGTTTATGCCAATAGCTGTGACTAATTAAATCACCACAACATCAAAATGAACCACATAGAGTCTGATGCTTTGCTTCAGAGGCCAAGGACTAAGAATAAAGATTTAATTTTTTTTTTTTTGTTTGTATTTTTTTTTAAATCACCTCACGTCCTTCAAAACCCTTTCTGCAATTAATTGCTACTAAACACAGTGACATATGCTGGTAACATAACTGGCCTAACTTTAAAATCCAATACAAAGATTCTCAATTGTTTATTTTACATATTTGGTTTAATTCTGCTCTTAAGGTTGACAGTAACTTAAAGCCGGCCCCATTCTCACTTTCACTGCTACCACTTTAGGGAGCAAATATGTTCAGTTCTCACATGAAAATGTAAAAATCCAACCAACCCAAAGTTCAATACCAATACGTAATGCTGCAAACAAAATAAATGTTAGACTTGTTTTATTGTAGCAGCTACAACTTTGAAGTCAGAGCTGAAAGATCCTATTGATACAGACTATTCTAAGACTGAGATTCCACCCTAAATCAAAAATAACTCTCGAATGGCAGTTCAAGATACTTGTTCCATTTACGCTATCATCAATGACTTTCCAATCCTGAAAATCACAACAGAAGTCAGTTGTAATTTTTACTCTGTAACTAATAAATTCCAAAATCTCTTTTAATTAGTCCTGGTTCTCCTCTACCATACACAAGTCTGAGTCATGCCTTTACAAAACGTGAACAGCCTCTCCCCCATCTGTCATCTCTGCGACTTTCTTGGCTCATCCAACTCTTTGGCAATTCCTAGCTCTCCCAGAAGCGCAGTGCTTCAGCCTCCCAAGCTCCTGTCTGGTGTGATGTTCTCCCTTTATTTTTTATTCTCTTCTTACTCATGCCCTTACAGAAATAGCCATTCCAAATACTCCCTTTCTTTGCTCCATGGAGAGAAATGAGTGCTACTTTTGTATGTGACTCCTTCCTCTCCTCACTTAAAATTAAAATCCAGCAATTCATTCATTCTCCTTACCCTCTGACTCACCGGCCCTGGGTTAATACTGCTTGAGATCTACAACTGCATCTCTTCTTTTCCTCAACCCTACATGAGTATCTGAAGGGAGAGAGTTACTTTTACTTAACCTGTACCACGCTGAAGACCAAATTACTACATAAGTTAATGCAAGAGAATGTTGAGGAGGAAGCAAGAATACTTAAGCAGGATAGGAAATCTTTTACCAAAAGCATGCATATAGATTGGTAAGAGATACCCCTCTAGACAAATTGTCCCTCCTGCAAAAATCATCACCGAAAAAAGCTTTTCCCCTTGACCTAGGATTAAGGAGCACATGGGGGACAGTGGGGGGGCGAGGTGTGAAGCACGGGAGAAGCCTGCGCTTGGCTGGAGCCGGGCAGCACTAAGGACGCCGG